TGTTTTCTTTGTGTAATCCTGTTGGGTATTTTGCGATTTTTGAGACCTTGGACTAAGTCTATAATTTAGATTGGTTGAGTTGTGCTTCTAAGAATTACGAGTGCACTTCTGCCGTTTGTTTGAATGAATGCTTAATCATGGAAGCTTCTAAACGTTGATATTATTGGTTGGAAATAATGATAAAATTATATATTCTGTTTTAATACTCCACTCCACCACATGAGCTCTAGATAAGTTTACCATATCTGGTCTCGAGTCATTTTTTGTTTAATTACATCTTTACCATATGCCGAATGTTTCAAACTTTCAATATAATTTAGTTGCTGAAACTAAATATTTGCGATTTACGTTCTTAAAACTCATCCTAAACTATGAGAGGCTCTCTGCTGTTGTTACTTGGTCTTTATTCTAGAGCTGTAATCATTTGTTGTAGATCCAGGAAAGAGACTTGTTCTGCTTTTGGGAAGAACTGTGGTATGATTGTATATGCTGATAAATTGTTTTGAGTGAATGGTTTAAAGAATTATAAGGTTCTGGTTTTGATTGAATTCTGTTTGTTCATCTCGCCCTTGAGACATGTTTATGTTTTATGTTTTATGAGACACCATTTCGATCTTCACTTATAATTCTTTTCAACCTCAAAGTAACAGATAATGTAACACTCTTTTGATTGATTGAATAACACTTGTACATTCATTCAAAAAGAATTATAAGTGAAGACATGTTTGATTGATTGTTCAACAAATCTAAAGTTTTAAATGACATTCCAGGAAGGAGAAGTGTTCAACCCAAAGGACGCAACAATGAATTTGTAGTAGATAGAGGTCGGAAAATTTCGTGTATTGGAAGATGAGTTCGTTAAAAAGAAGGTTACAAAGTAGACCGCTATTTGACAGTCCGGACAGGTCCCCGTCTATCAATTAGGATCAAGAAAACAAGTAGTAGGCCGGACAGATCCCGGACTACTAAACCGTCGCGGTCTAAAAGAAAGATAGTATTTTGGAACGTTTCTCGATCAGTAGTGACCTCACGGTGGCTTCCTCGTCGGAGTTAGAGTCCTGAACGGAAAAGTTCTGGTCCCTTGTACTCTTTTTCAGAGGAATGGAAGATTGATGGTCACATCACTTGATTCCTTTATTTATAGTACTAGGTTGAAGGTACATACTAGGTTTTACTTAACTGTAGTTACCAAATCTAACTCGGGTTTAACCAGACCGTGATTACTGTTTGAGTTGGGCTTCCACTTGTTCACGGGCCGCAGACCGCCATGTTTGTAGGTCGTTTGGGCCGCAGGTCCAGGCGCAACAAGACGCAAGGAACCACTTATTTACCTTTCCCATGAAAGGATCAGGGAGATCAAAACGTTTGCACAAAAGAGGTGCAGGACGCCATTGGAACTCTTCCCTTTTAGGTATGTCTTACTCGATTTCATGTCTACGACTCCAGTGTCTTTAATTTGCTGCAAACAAAAGTTTTAGTAAAACTGTTTACATATGAGCATAGATCCCCCGATTAACAGAATAACTGCAATGAAGATTCTGTAGAGGTATACCTCTGTTCCACCAGAAGTGAAATTCAGCCCTCCTGCAAGGAAGTCGATAGGCGGTTCAGTAGCTTGTCTGACCTCCTTGTAGGCTTTCCCTTTCTCGATTGCCTTAGCTGCAGCCTCAAAGTCCAGCCTTTCTTGAGCACGAGCTGATTCCGACATGCTGTTAACTCTGTTGGAGTCTGTTGTACGTAACCCTCCTTTGTATTTCTCCTTGCGAAAGTGCTCAAATCTTTCTTGTTTTGCTGGATCATCTTTGAAGGGCTTGACAGCCTCCGCTGCCTCTTGCTATTTCAAGGAGAGAAAGAAAAGACATGTTTTATGATTTATTTCTTATGGTTTTGATCTCCTTAAGAGAAGACATGTTTTGCCCTAAGGTCATAATTACTACTTTGTTGATGCAGATGAATGTCTCCAGAAGCAATTCTCGGATGAGTTGCGCCGAAGTGGTTTTTTTTTTTTTCAGGAAGTTACAATTAGAAGAGGCTTCGTGTGAAATGCGGGATTTTAAGTATTTGGCTGATGAATTCTCGAGACGGATGTGTAACGGCCGATGTTTGAAGCTCTCAGATGGAGAAGAAGGTGGAGAGGTCGCGTGGAGGAAAACGTTAATGTTTGAGGGGTTGGGTTATTTGAGAATGAGCCAAATTAGCTGTACGCCCTAACATGTTATGTATAGTAGGCCCAAGCGTGAATAATAACGTCGCCGCCACGTGTCAATTTTTTCATGCTGATGTGTCAAAGGCGGGAGAGGCCTTCGATTAGATTTTGATAAAAAACATATTGATAATTGTTTAAATCTAGATTTATTTTAGTAAATAATATTTGTTTTAAATTTATGTTTTAAATACGGGCTTTGAAATATAGGTCCGAATATTTTTCGAGCGAGGTTGGCCTTATATATATGTGAACTTTACGGATTTTGGATCAGAATGGGCCGGGTCAACCAGTTTGACATGTCTAAAAATAGGTGATGAAAGAAAGTAGTATCATTCCTAAGTCATATTAGATGGGCCATAACAAAACATCCATACAAAATTGGTCCACTTTATAGAAAATTTCAAATAATTGAAATCTATTATATAATTAGGGAGTTCTCTCTCCATTTCGAGTGTCCACATAGGCAACAAAAAAAAATTAAGACATTTAAGTTTTAAAATATTCATTTAATACAAAATAAACCATAATTATTTGTTTTTTTATGACTAAAAAGAAATTTAAATTAGAATAAAAATGTGAACGACTAAGTGGAGTGAAAATTAAAAAAAAATGTAAGATTACACAAGAATTTAGTA